CGGGGGGGGGGCATTTATACATGAAGTCTCCCCGGCTCGATAAGAAAACAAAACAGAAAGAAATGCATATGATTTCATGCAATTAGACAAATAAGACCATAAACGCAAGACTTACTCCTTCTATCCTCACCCTTCAGTTTAATTCTTTAAACGTTTAGAAATGACTGGAAGGCGTGATCGAACAGCGATATATAGTGTGGTACATTGTATAATGAGGACGTTAGACATTCGTGGTCAGGTTCACACCCACGACTTGCAGGGTCATTTGTTTGATGGCCAACATCGCACGGCCATGACCGAGAAAGGTAACTGAAGCTCAAGCCAAAACATCTGCACTGATATCTCAGACAGGTAATTCGAGTGATCCAACCTGGAATAATCAAAACGATNTCCACGCTGAGAGAGAGGGAGAGTAGAGGCCCTTCTGGCATCCAATCAGGCCTTACGAGGCATCACTGTCTTCAAAATACCAGTGTCAAATGAATCAATTATTTGAATTTAAATTGCAACTGGCGTTTGACGACAGTAGCCCAGTTCTTTATAGACGCTCATCTGATGGCAATTGCGCGAATACACACTTTGAGGTAGTAGATTACTTGTTCACCGGACCTTAGGAAGAATAATTGATAATGGTGATTAATCACCCGGTAATGTATTTCTTTATATCAATCGTTTGTCACGGTCTCATCCGGAAGCAGGTAATAAATGAATGTATATCACGTGACCTTCGTTTGTTTCTGAGAGAGTTAATTGGAGGCACGTTAACCTCGAAGAATCATTACAAAGCTTTTGTGTTAGCTCCTGAGAGCTGGATGCGTTTGATTAAAGCCAATCCTTCACCAAGGGCGACTTTCTAAGGACATCAGTAAAATGTGAATCGCTTTGTTCAGTTACTCTTGGTAGAACTGGGAGAACAGGAATACTGGCAAAATTACAGAATTGGCCAAATAGGATGAATAAGCCGTAATATCTGTCAACTGACTAAAACAGGAACGCTTTGGCAAATGTCTGATTATTCCAAATCGGAAGCTGTGGCGAAAACTATTCACTCTTTTTAGGGAACCAAGACAAAAAAGAGGTCACCGGCACCAATGCAATTATACCGTGCTGGGGAGTCGTATATTATTAAAAAGTCCTTATCATTCTAATATATTCTTATTTGAAAATTATCAAGTTTTTTGGCCACATGAAGCTCACTTACCGGTTTGATAGTTCTTAACACCTCTTGTTGCTTTCCACTGACACGTGAATCAATTGAATCTGCTCTCCGGCTATCCACAAGTGGTAGCGGTATCATCGCCGGTGGAGCAATCTGAATAGATGTCATGAAATGACAAGAAATTTGAGATTCCAAGTAATCTGCGTTATATGGAAATACATGAAAAATGCATAAAATTTGAATTCTATATGATTGTTTACAAATCATGATGTCAATATTTTTGCGTGTGTGCGTTTTTGCGTGTGAGTGCATTTGTGTGTGTGTGTATGGACCTACACCAACCGAGTAACTGAACGTACCCCTTCAGATTCTTGAAACGATTTGGGGTCCGGAAGATAATAATCTTCGTCAATCAGGAATTCCAACTCTTCTTCAGAGATCGATCTTTTCATGTGCCGAAGTACGTCCTCTAAATATGCCTCCCACGTGGCCATCAAGTCCAGTCGAACTTCCACCGACGCACTGTCTGTGAATGTACAACGTAGGCAGATTTCGACCACGGCTTAGCGAAGGCAAAACTCCTGGAATGCATTCTGGTGAAAATGAGGTCCATTTCGCAGGAAATGCATGTTACATGGGATACTTCATGTTTAAAATAGCTCTGCAGTTAGTTGTGGGTTAATTCGATTGGAATTCACTGAATGAGAATTCCGAATTTATTTCATCTGATGGAACGGAAAAAGTGTATCAACTTGATCAGCCAGACATTTTGAGGCAAACGAGGTTAGGTTTGACCCAATACTTTATCACCTCACTTGTTTTAATTTGCTTTTACTGAGCTATCTTTTGCTGGAGAATAAGCCGGTGCCATGGATAGTATCAGTCGACGTTCATGGAGCTTGGTTAAAAAACGGTACTCTCGAGACGTTTTAAGCTGTTTTAGTACCAAATTATCCGGGTCTGGTGGAGTGAAAGATGGCCTAAGCGTAGCCTTCAGGGCATCAGACTGGTTAGTGGCCTTTTGGTGCAGTTCAACAACCCATCTTCGGAAAAAAATGTGATACATGATAGGAGAAGTGAAGTCATTCATTGACAGTTGCAGAACATCATTCTGCCACGTGCGGCCTCCATGCGGATGCGATGTTTTGCCGTCGAGGGCACTGACCAGTCAAATCCCCATGTCTTCTGTAAGCATTGCGGCTGCTAGTCCGTGAACACATTCTCAGTAAATCTAGACTCTCTGTGATTTTGTTCAACCACCAGATTGATATCCGACCCCGTGTTCGGGAGAAGAAGACACACTCGATAGCACATAACTCAGATTTTATGAACTGTTCTAGATATGTGCTTTATAGTATCCCATTTGTTGACCGGAAGCGAATGAATTTGTTCACAGTGCGATCACGGTTTCCCCAATCGTAATGCTCATAGAGTAAAGGGATGAAAAGCTCATCTCAGATTAGGAATAAAAGGACAAAAGCATAAATGAAACGCGTCTTTCATCAGAGAATGCAAATCAGTTTCATTATTCCAAGCCGCGACGTTGAATCAGATCGAGGAGCCTAAACGCGGCAGACGAGTGGAAACCAACACGGACACACATTGTGTGATGAGATTCAGAAAGGCGAGAAGCCATATCAGGGGTGGTGAGGCTAGTTTTACCGGCGTTTATCCAATCTGCGTGATAATCCCAAGCTCTTACAGCACGGTAATATGCATTGTCTATGAGGAACAAATATGTAAGAACAAAACTCACAACTAGATAGTACAAATCATCCGTGATCGAAAGCCTTTGTGTTTTTGGGATAGCGAGCTTATGCGCATATTGAATGATTCACATCCATCACAGCCAATTTCTCCCTGTTTGTCTTCATCGTGATCGAGGGATTAGCATTAATGATATGACCCAAGCGGGTCAAAATATTTGTTTCCTGCTTCCCGGGTTCTCGGTGCACCCTTCATTTACCATGAAGACAATGGCATCCATCATTTGACCAAGTCAAATACACAGCCACTTGCAGTTTCTTTATTTCAAAATAGCGTTTATTTTTTGAATAAAACTCTTCTCGGTTTATGATCTCGTGTACACAGTATTTTGGTATCCCTATAAAAACATAAATCAGTTTTATACAAAAATCAATCCGCTGTCCGAACCAGGGTAACAAAATTGTCTGGATCAGATATTGTTGTTACCCTGAACTGGGCAGAGGACGCCCAATCACCCGCCCCTATCCAGTATCATTTACCACAATTTTAACAGTCAATTATTATTCTTTGTCTCCACTGTCCACTTCCAATTACATCACAAGCTATGCGTGACATATATATTTACTAGTGTAACTTCATCGTAACTTCATTTCGCTCCCTCGTTTTAGCGGACAACTTTCATCATCATTTTATTCTACCCACCTCTCTACGGGTTTTCATTTGATCTTTGTCCTCTCAGCCCTCGACGGCTCTAGCAGAGACTGCTACTAGCCTTGTACTATCCACGTTTGTTGTTCAGCTGGAAACGTTAGTTTTCTATCATGCTCCGTGGTGTGGACCTTCATCTCGTTATCGAAACTGCTATATCATCTTGGGTGGCTAGTTCACACACCTTTTGGAGAGAAACACAACCGACTGCCTACGTAGTTGGCTGTTCACATACCAGGACATAATTAGGTTTACAGGAAACACCATATTTGATAGCGATTCTGGTGTCTGTGAAAAACCGAATGGGCTAATCCAAACATTCAACATCTATATTCTCATCGCATTTCAGAACTCCTTACGTGTGAAACATTGCGAAACAACGAAAGCAAGTGCTTTCAAGATGAATTTGGTAATTTAAGTGAAATTAAAAACAGGGCAGGACTGATCTGATGTTTCTATTTTGTCGGGTCACATTAGTGGCACGAATAACTTGTCTCTAAAATCAATTGTTCATTAGCTTCCCTTTAATGAAAACACGTGTATAGATGCAAGTTTAGGGACATGAGAAGGACCTCACTATTGGGCTTCTGGATGTGACAAGTAGAATAGGTAGGGTTAGACGTTATTAGTTGGGCGATGTAATCATGACCTTCAAAAATTAGGATGCACACACTAGTAGTGCCCATTATCACACGCAAAACGAGGGTGATACACACATGAGAGTAGTGGATTATCTCANTTATCTCAACCATAGATTTACTCATGTACAGAAAAAAGGATGCGCAAAACAGTGTCCAACTATTTCAACCTTGTTAGATTTGATCAGCCTGATGAGAATTCCATAACCCAATGTTGAATCGATCCCAAGTAGAATTATACGCAGATTACCTACTCGATCACAAAGCAGTTGATCTTAACTTGGTATACTGCAATAAAATCTTTGCAAGCTCTTTGTTGGCATTGCGTCTCGCACAAGGTGGTATTGACCTACCGTATTTACCGGTAGTCACGTGAACGCAATATACTTTCGTTCTGTCTCTTTGATACCAGTGTTGAACCACCACCGTGTCCAGGAGAGCTTTCGCGAATGATGAGTGACAAGTCAGGTTGAATCAAGTCATGATACGATCTGCGCACCGAGGAGTTGAAGTTTACCAATTACGAATCGACGCAGTAGATAAATATG